GCACCACCAGGAGTAATTCCTGAGTGCAGAGCCAGGAGGAACCCATGAACATTGCTGGGTGTGACCCAAAGCACTACACTGTAGGCCTGTCCTCCCATTGTTCATCTATTTGCTCAAGCAGGCACCAGTAATGTCTCTATTGTGAGACTTGTTGTTACTGGTTTTGGCATATTGAATACGCCACAGGGAGCTTGCCAGGTTCTGCCGTGTAGGTGGGATACTCTTGGTAGCTTACTGGGCTCTCTGAGAGAAACAGAGGAATCGAACCCAGGTCGGCTGTGTGCAAGGCAAACACCCTACCCACTGTGCTATCGCTCCAACTTGACCCAAAAAGCCAAAAAAAATAAATAAATAAACCCAGAAAACATTGCCTAAAATTTCAAAAACCAAATATATTCAGAAAATATGAAATACACTAACTTGATACAATTAAGACCTGGCAAGTATGTTCTTCCTATCTAACTTAGCTCATCCATTTATTTTTTAAAAAAGGGGGTTGCTAACCCACAAGCAAAACTATTCTATGCTACTGCTGAGATGTACATTGTGATTCAGAAAGTACAAAAGCATGGGCTTCAATCCATTTTTGAAAAATATAGACTTCTGGTGTAAAAGTATAAGAAGAATTTCATTCATCACCATAAAGGGTATAATTCACAATGAAGAAAACAGTGAATTATATGTTCCCTATATATTAGTTTACTTATGTTCCCTAGAGTACAGCAACAATATTCAATGCAAATACAGGATTCATATACAATCCAAATTTGTATGAAATACAACATTAATACCAAAACTTGGAAAGACTGTGAAAGAGTAGCTGCAAGTCAGATCAAGCTTACCTTTGCATTTTGATTTAAAAAGTAAAATATCAGCAGACAAAACTTGGTATTACATAAAAAGAATCCAGAAAAGCAAGTTGGGTTCAAGATTTGTTAAAAAGATATTTATCAGCAGCTCCAAAGATACTAAAAAGATACCTGACAAAATTTAATACTCATCTTGATGAAAAAGAATAAAATAGGAATCAACAAATGTTCCTATAATGTATATAAATATGTGCATGCATATATGTACATACATATATCACACCTAATGCAGAAACAGTGAAAACATTCCTCCTAAATGAAGAAATAAAGAGGATGCCCACATATAACAATATCCTGTCTGATTAATCGGATAAAAAGTAGATATAACAATCTAAAGGAACAAGTAAACCTATCAATATTTTAAAAAATAGGAGTAAGGGTTTGGAGTGATAGCGAAGCAGGTAGGGCGTTTGCCTTGCACATGGCCAACCCAGGTTCAATTTCCAGCATCCCATATGGTCCCCTGAGCACCGCCAGGAGTGATTCCTGAGTGCAAAGCCAGGAGTAACCACTGAGCACTGCCAGGTGTGACCCAAAAATGGGAAAAAAAAAAGGGAATAAAAAAAAAAACTAGAGACGTCAGGAAAACCACAAGACAAGCTAAAATAAGTAAAAGAATAAAAGAGAGAAAAAAATATAGAAATCAAAAGGCTTCATTTATACAAATATAACCAATTAGGGGCCAGAACCCTAATACAGCAAGCAGTACATTTGCCTTTCATGCGGCTGACCCAGGTTCAGTCCCTAGCATCCCTGGCATCCCTGGTCCCCTGAGCACTGCCAGGAGGGATCCCTGAGTCAAGAGTAATCTCTGAGTACTGCCTGGTATGGCTCCCAAAACAAAACAAGTAAAAATATATAACCAGCCAGAATCTATAAGCCAGTGTAACAATTACAAAAAAAACCCCTCCAACAAAACAAAAAACACACAAAACCCCAACACAACAAAAAACAAAAAAATCGAGGGGTGAAAATATCTAGGAATAAGACCCCAAACTGCAATTTTTGTTTTGCTTTGGACCACACCCCGCAGTGCTGTTACTCCCAGAGCACTGCTCATGGTAGCTCCTGGCGTGCTTGGACAACGTGGTGCTGGAGATCAAACTTCGTGTCTTATACACTAGCCCTTTGAAGTTGACTTGAAAAATGTGCAAGTTTATGTGAGGAAAGTTTAAAACACTACCAAGAGTAACAAAAGTAATCTTAAATCAAAAGGCATTGTTTTGTCTTTAAGAAGATAAATATTTTCCCTGACAGAAATACTCAGTTCTTGAAGATGCCTATTTGTCCTAACTTATTTTACAAGCATAGTGAGATTTCAACAAAAATATCCAGCCTATCCTCCCACTCACTATATCTAGGCAAGATGTTTCTAAAGCAAACCCAGAAAAATAAGATTGGCTTAGAAAACTCTGAAAGAAAAATTATGAGAATAGTCCTATTCAATAGTAGTCATAAAGCAAATGATTACTAACACATATATGCACAAACACACAAAACAAAAACAAATTTCTGCAGAGCAAAAGATAAAACAAAACCTTATCAAAGGTAAAAGAAGGTATTAGGGATAATAATCTGTAAATCATAGCACAGACAAGGGAAAAGTCTGCTTAACTCAGAAACTAAGCAGAGTTGTTCACAACTGTTTGTGGAAATTAAATAATGGCATTTATATAGTGATATGATGGGCAAATGAAAAATATAAACACATAAAAAATCTTTAAATTTGAGTTATAAAATCAAGAATTTGACACCTGAAATGGCAAGAGTGTAAGAAAACAGGTGATCTCTTTTGTTGATGCAAAATGTTAACAGTTCTTTTGGAAAGCAATCTGGCAATAATAATCAAAATTACAAATTGTTCTGACCTACCAATCTCACTTCAAAGAATACATATTTAAAGATATCTCTATATGAAATAATAATCTGAGAAGGCAAATAATTAGAAATAACCTAATGTTACTAAAATAGACTCTGAAGTAATTCCCTCAGTGACATTCCCATAATGGTAGACGTGGCTAAAAAAAATAAATTACTGTTAATTTAAAATAAATTATGGCTGAAAAAAAATGTACTGAGCTGATATGGAAATATCCAAGGCTTCTTGGAAGAACAGTTAATTCCAGGTAAGATAGGAAATAGAAGAACAGATTGAACAGCCTGCTGTGCTAAAAGCAGTAAGACTGGTAAAGACTGATGAGTCATCAATAGGGCACTATGGTTTCCTGATAAGAGTTCTGTCTAATGCAGAAGGAATAATAGATTATAAAATACTGAGTTGGTAATCTAGAGAAATAAACAATTTGACTAACAATTACTAATGGAGGAATATTAACAACTGAAAGATGCATTGGGAAATTTACAAGAGTTTTACTGAACTCTAAACCTACTAATTATTCTTATTATCACAAACATTGTAACCAATGTAAACTGTGTGCCTCCTACTACCATATTATATGAAGCACTCTTGAAATATTTTGAACCAGAATTTGATCAAGCTTATAAGGTTTACTTCAGTTTCAGGAAATATAAAAGGTTCAGAAACAAAGTAATGACCCCAGTGGAAAACAAAAATTAATTCAGGTGTTTTGGGTATTCTACAGGATAGGTACAAAAGTTTCTGTAACAATGGCAAAGGAAACAGGAGGGATGGAACTGATATTGCTAGCTTTTATTTTATTTTTTAATTTTTTTGCTTTTTGGGTCACACCTGGCGATGCACAGGGGTTACTCCTGGCTCGGGCATTCAGGAATTACTCCTGGTGGTGCTCAGGGGACCATATGGGATGCTGGGAATCGAACCTGGGTTGGCCGCATGCAAGGTAAATGCCCTACCCTCCATGCTATTGCTCTAGCCCACTGCTAGACTTTAAAAGGGCAAAAACAGATCAACGTAATGAATGGGTCTCGTGCAGCTTACCATAAAAAGATATATTTGAGACAAATTAGTGAATCTAATTATGGACAGGATATCAGAAGCTCTAAATATAATTAAATAATTCTAACATACGGTAATAAGATGCATATTGAAGTATAGTTGGGAACAAAATAACATGCTGTCTGGTATTAAACTTAAAAATACTAAAAAAGGAGCTGAGTAATAATACAGCAGGTAGGGCACTTGTCTTGCACATGGCAGACCCAGGTTTAATCCCTGGCACCACATATGGTCCCTGGGCCAGCCAGAAGTGATTTCTGAGCAGAGTCAGGAGTCACTGCTGAACACTTCCATGTGTGGCCCCCAAAACAACGAAACAAAAGAACTATAGAAGAGGTGTAGACAACTAAGCAAAGATAGAAAAAAAATCCTGCCAGGTGCAGGGATGTAGCTAAGTGTCCGTAGAGCACTTGCCTTGCATTTATAAGGCCCTAGTTTCATCCTGGGCACCAATAACAACACTACTGATGAAAATAAAGGAAAAAAAAGAAAAGTTAGCCAATTTTGATAATGACTTTATATGTGGCAGTTTGTCATGCTCCTCTTCTACTTTTATATAACTCAAAAATATTCACAAGCAAACACTTAAAAATGAGAATACGGGGCTGGAGCAATAGCACAGCGGGTAGGGCATTTGCCTTGCACGCAGCCAACCCAGGTTCAATTCCCAGCATCCCATATGGTCCCCTGAGCACCGCAAGGGCTAATTCCTGCGCGCAGAGCCAGGAGGAACCCCTGTGCATTGCCAGGTGTGACCCAAAAAGGCAAAAAAAAAAAAAAGAGAATACATTTAGCAACACATTAAGCATCCGCAGTTAGTTCAATGCCTGGGGTCACTAAGACCAATGTACCTCTGTCTTTGAAACATTTATGTAAAATATCTTAAATTAAAAGTAAAATATAGTAGAAGATTGCTCAGATGATCATGTCAAAGCTTTCATGGGCTTACTTCATGTTTAAACACATTCCAGGACAAACTCTATGTAAAGACTCTCAAAATAAAATGTAATAAAAATATGAGCTTTTCCAATGTCTTGTATACAAGTATATATACAAGTATATAAGTTCAAATACTACTTTAAAACACCTGTATAAAAAGTTATATAGAAAATGTACTTGTGCACCTGCAGACACACACACAATCATACACAAACCAACTACCCCACAAAGAATATGACTTTCACTTCCCTTACCATCAATATTGAGCATCATTTTCCACATGGCAGGCCGAACAGATTGATGAAATCCAAACCATACTTCCCTGCCCCCTCCAAGAGGGTGGTCATATCCTTCAGGAGCTGAGAAAAAGGAACGCCCCACAGGGGTATATCTACAAAAATTAAAATGGCATGTTCAATTCTTTCCTTTCCATATATGTATCTAAAACTGAAGAACAGGTGAGTCTAGAGCATATAAATGGAATTTATCAAAATTATGCTTATTATTATTATGAATTTATGAAATTAAACATTTTTAAAATGTGTAAAATTCAATCATTCTAAATGAAAAAGCATCAGCATCCTTCACTGAAATTCTCTATTCTTAAAATTGATCAATGTTTAAATAAGAATTTCACTTAATGTGCCAGGAAGATAGTACAGAGGGCAGGGCGCTTGATCTGGGTTTGATTCTCAGCACTCCATGTGGTCCCCTGAGCCCTGACAGGAGTGATCCCTGAGCACAGAGCCAGGAATAAGCCCTGAGCACGGCTGGATATGGTCCAAGAAATAAAAACGAAACCCAGAAATAAGAAAAAAAATTTCGTTTAAAACTTATTTTTTACTAGGGGCCATCCCTTATGAAGACTCGGAGCAGAGCTGGAGCCCCTCATTCCCTGTGATGCTTGGAGGTCACCAGGGCCACTCAGAGGTGCCTGGGAAGCCAAATAATGCTGAAGATCAAATTCAGACCTTACATATGCTAAGCATGTGCTCTATCACTTCCATTATGTAGCCAGTCCTCCTTAAACTTTTTAAATTTAAAATTCTTTAAAATCTATTAAAAAACAGTTCCCATCTTAAAAAATGCTAAACTGTTAATGATCAAAAGCAATTTCAGTGGGATTCCTGGCACCCCATAGCATCCCCAGAGCACCACCAGGAGTAATTTCTGAGTGCAGAGCCAGGAGTGTGCCCTGAGCATCACTGGTGTGATTCAAAAACAAAACAAAATAAAACAATATAAAGCAATTTCAATAAATTTTCTAGCAAGATTTTTTTTTAAGAACACTAATCACATACACACATACACAGTTGAGCCTGAACAACATGAGTGCAAGGGCACTGACTCCTAAAGTTGAGAATACATGTATAACTTTGGGTTTCTGTTTTTGGGGGTGGGGGTACACCAGTTATGCTCAGGACTTTCTCCTGGCTTTGTGCTAAGGGACTACTCCTGACACAGTGCTTAAAGGGACCATATACAGTGCTGGGGAATGAACCAGAGCTGTCTCATGCAAGGCACACTATGTACTCTCTTAGGTCTAATCCATGTACATCACTGTGTGATGTACACGCAGAATTACTAATAACTTGCTATTGACTGTAGTCCTTACCATATGTGTATGTTATAGGTATTACTGGTAATAAATCTTACAATCGAGAAAACGTTATTAAGAAAATTATATATAATTGAGGTACAGTACATTATTAATGCATTAAGTTTTTTTTTTTTTTTTGCTTTTTGGGGTCACACTCAGTGATGCTCAGGGGTTATTCCTGGCTCTGCACTCAGGAATTACTCCTGGCGGTGCTTCGGGGACCATATGGGATGCCGGGGATCGAACCTGGGTCGGCTGTGTGCAAGGCAAACGCCTTACCCACTGTGCTATCGCTCCAGCCCCATGCATTAAGTTAATGTCATTTGTTTTCTTTTGGGAGCACAGCAGGCCAAGGGATGACTCAGTGATACTAAGACAACTGGCTCTGATGGTTCAATGCTGGGTCTGGAAATGCAGTGTTCCTCAGATCCAAGGGTGTAGGGGGCCACCAAGGATACCCTGAAGGTGCTCACGGACATCCACGGCAATAGCCAGTGGTGCTCCAGGAGGTGACCATGCAATGATGGGGTTTTATTCAGGGCCTTGAGAACGTGAAATATTTGTTCCGGTGTTTTTTTTTTCTTTTTGGGTCACACCCAGCGATGCACAGGGGTTACTCCTGGCTCATGCACTCAGGAATTACTCCTGGTGGTGCTCGGGGGACCATATGGGATGCTGGGAATCGAACCCGGGTTGGCCACGTTCAAGGCAAACGCCCTACCCGCTGTGCTATTGCTCCAGCCCCTGTTCCGGTGTTTTATACTATCTCTGTGAACCCTCTTTTCATTTATTTTCAGTATCAGTCACTTATCTGTAACTATATCCTATCAAGAAATTCAATTTTTTCTTATAATATCATGACTTTCCTGTTTCTTGGGATTATTTCTAGTATATCTTGTGGCAACTCCTGTAGGTCTCATTGTACTAAGCACAATCTAAAAATACATGGAAGGGCCAGGGAGAGAGCTCAAAGGACTAGAGTGCCTGTTTTGCATGTGGGAGATCTGGGTCCAATCTCTGGCACCAATGGCCCACTTAGTACGCCAAGAGTACTTTCTGCACACCACTGGTGTGGCCCCCAAACAAAAAGAAAATATACACAAGAACTGCAAGAAATTACTTTACACTGTGACAAGCAATTTACTGAAGAGAAGAAATGCTCATGAGAAGATTAGCACCACAAAGCACTTCAGCAATCACTTGACCTCAAAACAATAGCAGCAGGTGGAGTTCATGCCCAATATGTTCAGCTTAATTAATGGCTGAACAAATAGCAGCACTCCTACATTATTAAAATTAAAAAAAAAACCAATAGCAGCAGGAGGTGGCTATGAAATTAATACATCAGTACAAGTAAGCACTAGCTAGTCTTAGGCAGTTATAATTTAATACTGCATCTTTACATCTGTTTACACTTGTCCATGGTGAATGGCACTAAAATACTTTCCTCTTAAATTCTTTTTCGGGGCTCGGGTTTTGTACTAAAGGTTGGCTCTGTAGACAAGGCTCACTACTCACAGGGATCATGGGACCATATCCACATATGGAGACCAGACTGGGGTCAGCTGCATGCAAGGCAAGCACCTTAACCCTTGGACTCTCTCTCTGGGCTTTTATCTGTAACTTTAGATAAATTTTAACTTTATAAGATCTTTTTCTATTTTACTGATGATAATTAATTCCATATGTTTTACTATACTTGTATCTTTTTCTTATTTTTCCCTGATATTTATAGGCCATATAGTTTGTAAAGATTTTTTTCTGCAGTTTTCAATTGTCACAACCACCCCAATTTTTCCTAATATTACTGAAAAAACTGTGCCCATGTTGTTCAGACTTTATATACACAAACATAGGTGTTGATGTGCTTCAAAGTAGCATTTGTTTTCTTTTTTTTAAATTTTTGATCATACGCAGAGGTGCCCAGGACTTATTCCTGGCTCTGTGGTCAGGGATCATACCTGATCATGCTCAGGAGACCATGTATAGTGCCAGGGATAGAACCTAGGATGACCACGTGCAAGGTAAGTTCATTACCTGCTATACTCTATCTTTGACCCCCCCCAACAGCATGTTGAATACTGTTTGATATTAATGTGCATAAAATGATATTACCTCTAAAATGAGGTGATTAAGCTATAGGACTATATTTGAAGATAAATTAGTTTCTCAAGTTTTATAGCTCCAAAGAAAAAAAGGTTAAACAATTTTCTTATAAAAGCATTCTTTAGAATAGCTAAAAATACACATTTACTCCAAGGCTGAGAACTTCCTTTAAATTACTTCTTTCAATCAACCCACATGAATGCTATTCTTCAATAAAAATAATAAAAAATATACATCTGAAGGTTAATAAACAAAGGAGGCCTGAACAATGGAACTGGGAAGAAAGCCTTCAGACTTAAAATCTAAGAAGGAAAAAAAGCTGAAAGCACCCACTTCATGGAGGGCAGATGTCGTAGCACCACATCGACAGCATGGACAGGATTAGTGCTGATTGGCTTGTCTAATTCCAGTGGTTCAGGCAAGGTCCGTCCTGTCAGTACTTCATGTAGCAGATGCCAACTCACCCGAGAGACAAATTTGATTGACACCTTGAAAGGTCTATCTTTTCCACCTTCCCCTGGTAAAGTAACATCTAAATCTACCTGTTGATGGGAAAAAAGTCAACCAGTTAAAGGCAAAAAGATAAACACAATTATTTTTCAGTTTAACTTATAAAATATTTAAGAGAAAACAAGGCAAATATTAAAAATCGGTAATTAATAAACTAAAATTTAAACAAGCTATTTATGTGTCATTATGTGTCATTGCAAAATACCAGAAATAACCTAAATGTCAAATACTTGGTCAATTATAGAAAAGGAATGAGGGGACCTGGGGCTCAGAGTGATAGTACAGTGAGTAGAGCATTTGCACTACATGTGGCCAACCAGGATTTGATCCCCAGCACTCCATGTGGCACCCCCGGAGCCTGCCAGGAGTTATCTCTGAGTGTCCAGCCAGGAGTGATCTCTGAGTGCTGAGCCAGGAGTAAGCCCTGAGTAACATGGGGTATTGCAAAACAAAACAAAACAAAAACAAGCAAACAAACAAAAAAAGACTGAGGAAGATCTCTTGGATCTGCTACAAAACAATTTTCAATTTAAACTGTTAAGTGAAAAAAACAAATTAGAGAAAATTACAAATATTATGTCATCTTCTGTGTGCAAGAATGGGAAAGTGTAAAATATTCATAACTTGCATATTTTAGAAGAGAGAAATACAAGAATAATGAAGCAGAAACACAAAAATGACAGGATAGAACAGACTGCAAGAAATAAAGGGACCAACTGAATTCTGAGAGTATTTCTGGACATAGTTTTGACTTTTGGAAACGTATTAAGAGTCTACAAATTGGAAAAAACTAAAGCTAGTTGCTCTTTGAGCTAGTGTTCTCCCTTCAACACCTAGCTTGCTTGCTTGTCTCTATGTCTCTTTGCTTCCTATTTCTACAGGAGAAGCCTGTGTTCTCTCTTGAACACATTCTTGTCCTTTTCTCTTCATATTTTTCTACATAAGTTTCAATTAAAACTATCTGTGTGACAAAAAAAAAACAACTTAATAAAGATGCAGGGAAAAACCAAAAATGAATATAAATAAAATAAAATGTACTCAAATGAGTAACACCACAAAGTAGGAAAATAAAGAAAGCAAATACTAATATGATTAACTGTGCCATAACATGGGGAGTATACTCCATATTAGAAGGTGCAGAGAAGGGAAAGTCGTAAGAACTATATAAAAAAAAATCTTGGGGCTGGAGTGATAGCACAGCAGGTAGGGCATTTGCCTTGCACGCGGCCGACCTGGGTTTGATGCTCAGCATCCCATATGGTCCCCTGAGAACCACGAGGGGTAATTCCTGAGTGCAGAGCCGGGAGTAATCCCTGTGCATCACTGGGTATGACCCAAAAAGAAAAAAAAAATTAAAATCTTAAAAGTAGGGCTGGGGAGACAGATCTTAGGCCAGAGAACATGCTCTGCATGCAGAATCTCTGGTTTAATCTCCTAATACCACATGGTCCCCTCAGCATCACAGGTAGTAATCCACAGGCACTGCCAGGTGTGGCAAAATATATATATATATGTGATATATATATACCACATATATACATATATATATATACCACATATATACATGTATATATATAAAATCTTATTAGGTTTGTGTTATATTGTGTATAGTATCCTAGGGGCTGGTATGATAGCCCCACGGGTAGGGCACTTGCCTTGCATGCGGCCGGTCCAGCCGAGCGGGGTTCGATTCCTCCACCCCTCTGAAGAGCCTGGCAAGCTACCGAGAGTATCCTGCCCACACAGCAAAGCCTAGCAAGCTCCCCGTGACGTAGTCAATATGCCAAACACAGTAACAACCAGTCTCACAATGGAGATGTAACTGGGCCCACCCGAGCAAATCGATGAACAATGGGAGAAGAGTGCTACAGTGCTATAGTATCCTAATTCAGAAACGATATGTACTCTAGGTCTAAAACACTGAGTAAAAGTGGTAATGTTTTAGGAAGATATAAAAATGCAATGGTGGAAAGAAGAGTCCTGTGATGAGATACTGGTTTGAACTCATGATTGAAAATCAATGTTAGTTTTACTATGAGCCTGGAATATTTGTGTCAGCAAAAAAAGTAGACAAGAAGGGAGGGGTGTATAGGGGGGAGTGGAGGCAGAGAAACAATACAGGAGGTAAAGTACTTGTTTTGCATGTCAATGAAGCAGCTTGGTTTGAATCCTGGGAATCATATATGGTTCCTGAGCATGTAAAAGTAAAAGTAAAGGTCCTCCCGTTGATCATCGACTTGCTTGAGCGGGCCCAGTAACGTCTCCATTGTGAGACTTGTTGTTACTGTGTTTGGCATATCGAATACGTCACGGGGAGCTTGCCAGGCTCTGCTGTGCGGGCGAGATACTCTCAGTAGCTTGCCGGGCTCTCCGAGAGGGGCGGAGGAATCGAACTCGAGCCCCTAGCACAGCGGTAGGGCGTTTGCCTTCCATGCAGCCAACATGGCCGACCCGAGTTCGATTCCTGAGCATGACCAGGAGTTATTGCTAAGAACAGGGCCAGGAATAGCTCCTGAGCACCGGTAGGTGTGGTTACTTCCAAAACTGAAAAAATAAATTTTAAAAGGGGATATAGGATTTTTGATGGTCAAGTATGGGTCAATTTGGGCAGTCAAATAAATAAGTTTAATAAAATGGAAGAAGAAAATATTTCCCTTTTGGTAGAATACCAAGCAATAAATGTAGGGGCGAAGGCTGAATTAGGAAACTACCATTACTATATTGTAATAATTCTTCCAAGTAAGAATCAAGAATTACTAAAAGAGACTAATGTGAAACAGTATCTCCAGTATATTGCATGTCAAAATTAAAAACTTACGGTTATCAAAGAATACAATCAACAAAGTAAAAAGGCACACACGAAATGTGATAAAGTAACTGGCAATCACATAACTGATAAGAATTATATAAAGAATTTCTACAACTCAACAACAAGAATAAATTTCTAAAAAACTGGGCAAAGGGATATAAAGAGATAGTTCAACAGGATGGATGGACTACACACATTGCATGCAGGAGGCTCAAGTTTGGTCCCGGCACTACATGGTTCCCCTGAGCACCAGTTCCCCAGGTACCATTAAGTGAGAATCATAAACACTGAGCTAGAACTAGCCGCTGAGCACTGCCAGATATATCCCCCCCCAAAAGAAAAACAAAACAAAGACAAAGAATTTGAATACCCATTTCTACAAAGAAACAAATACCCTGTAAGTACATAAAAAGATGCTCAATACCATTAATAATTAGGAAAATGCAACAAAAAATATAGTAAGACATTTCTAGCTCTCATTAAGGTGACTACTGAAAAAAAAAAAAAACCAGAAAATAAGTGTTGGCAAAGGATGTGGAAAACCTGAAACCCTTGTGCATTGTAAAATGGTAGGACTGTAAAATGGTATGGCTGATTGGACATAGCACGGTAATTTTATTTATTCATTTTTAATTAACTAAATTACACATTAACTAACAACCAGCAACTCTACTTCAACATATATACTCAGAAGTAAAACAGTGACTATACCACAGAGCTGTATACCTTTTTTTAACAACAGCATTATTTGCAATACCCAAAAATACCCACCAACAGATGAATGGATAAACAAAGTTATATACATACATTGGAATATAATTCAGTCTTTAAAACGTATTTTGCTACAACATACATGGATAATTTTTATTTGCTTAGTCACTGTTACTGTCCTCCCGTTGTTCGTGGATTTGCTTGAGCGGACCCAGTAACATCTCCACTGTGACACTTGCTTGTTACTGTGTTTGGCATATCGAATATTTGCTTAGTATACTTTAAAAATTTAAGCAACAAGATTTACAACAGGTTAATTCTTATGTGTTAGGCATATAATGAGTCTGGCAAACTCCCCGTGGCGTACCAAATATGCCAAATACCAGTAACAATAATGGGTCTCATTCTCCTAACCCTGAAAGGGCCTTGAATATGGCACTTTAAAATCTCAGGGTTAGGACGAAGGAGACGTTACTGGTGCCTGCTCGAGGCAATCGATGAACAACAGGATGATCGTGATCGTGACCATACCCATACCAAAGCGCTAATATTTCTCCACCACTGTTCTTAAGTCCCTTCTCATCTGACACTTCCTTCCCAAACCCTCTTTCCCCCTCCCATCCCATGTGATAAATTCAGCTTTTAGTTGTTTTCATTGGCCATGGTCTATTTCCTTGCTTTGTTTATGTTCCACACAGGAGTGAGGTCATCTGGGGTTTTTCTTTCTCCTGACTTATTCTGCTTAATCTGAAACCCTCTAGTTCTACTCAAGTTGTAACAAAATATAGTAGTTTATCTTTTCTTATAGCTGAGTAATACTCCATTGTGAATCATTACATAATTTGGTTGTTCTGTTTATTATAGCCAGTCATTTGGGGCAGGAGATGGAACTCCCAGTTGTGCTCCAGGGGGGTGCTTCTGGTGATTCTGGGGGAGCCATGCAGTGCCAGGGATCAAACCCAAGCCTCTCTCATGCAAAGCATGCACTTCGTTCCTTTGAGCTATCTCTCTGAACCCTACACCACAATTTTTAAATGCTGCTGAGCACATGGGTTGTTTCCAGATCTCGGCTATGGTAAATTAGTGCTGCAATAAACATAGGTGTATGTTTTCTTTTTGAACACAGATGATTCTTTTTTCTAAATTGAGATTCTGTGACCTACAATTCTGTTAATGATGGTTTCTCATGCGCATAATTACTATGCCACACTCATCACCCACTTGTCCCCCTCCCCCAAGGACCCCAATGTCCTGTTCAACACTTCCCCACAACTCAACTGTGTAGATCAATTCTCCCATTGTACTTCCTTTGGCCTTTTGTTGCTACCTTGCTATTTATCTGTAAATTTCACATATGAGAGAGATTATTTTGAATCTATACCTTTCTGACTGATTTCACTCAGCACAATCTCTCGTTTCATCCTAAACATGGATGATTCAGGACATTATGCTATGTGAAGTAAGCCAGTCATAAAAGACAAGATACTCCCTGTAATCCCACTTATAAGAGGCATTGAGTGATTAAAAAAAAAAACAAAAACAGTGGCTATCAGAGGCTGAGGTGGGGAGGGGACAAAAATAGGGAGATAGTAAACAATGAAAGAATTTCAGTTTTACAAAATAAAAAGTTCAAGAATAATGGTAGTTGTAGGTGATAGGTATGAACATACTTAATGACAAAGAACTATGACTTAAAAATGGCTCAAACAGGGGCCAGAGACATAGGACAGTGAGTAAGGTGTTTGCCTCAATCCCCAGCAACCCAGGTGGTCCCCTGAGCCAGAGTGATTCTTGAATGCAGCAGAGTCAGGTGTAGTAGAACAAAAACTCAGATGGCAAATTTTACGTTGTGTATATTTTTACTTAAAATATTTAAAAACATAATCTCCCCGCAAGAGCAAAGAGAAAGAGTAACTTGCAAGGAGAAACTAGGCTACTATCAACATAATAAAACAATCACATCAACATTACTATTAATAAACAAATATATATTAATTGCTTCCTGTAAGATGCACTGCCAAGAAAGACTTTTGTAACTGGCATGCCAAAAATGTTTGCTCCAGGGAGCAAATAGATAAATAGTACATTTTTTTTTCTTTTTGGGTCACACCTGATGATGAACAGGGGTTACTCCTGGCTTTGCACTCAGGAGTTACTCCTGGCGGTGCTCAGGGGACCACATGGGATGCTGGGAATCGAACCCGGGTCTGCCGCGTGCAAGGCAAATGCCTTATCTGCTGTGCTATCTCTCCAGCCCCAATAGTACATTTTTAAAAAGAAGTATTCTTATTGGGCTGGAGCGGTAGCACAGCAGTAGGGCGTTTGCCTTGTGTGCAGCCAGCCCAGCCCAGCCGGGCTCGAATCCTCCGCCCCTCTCAGAGAACCCGGAAAGCTACCAAGAGTCTCTTGCCCGCACAGCAAAGCCCAGCAAGCTACCCGTGATGTATTCAATATGCAAAACATAGTAACAACAAGTCTCAAAATGGAGACTTACTGGGCCTGCTAGAGCAAATCGATAAACAATGGGAGGACAGTGACAGTTTTTTATTGGGTGGGAGGGATACTTCAGTGGGTAGGGCATTTGCCTTGCATGCGATGACTGAGGCTGGATCCCTGAGTGCAGAGCCAGTAGTAAACCCTGAGCACCGCCCAGTGTGCCAACCTCCTCCACACCCCCAAAAAGACCTTAAAAGTAGATTATTTATCAATTTATAACAGCTTATTTATTCGTTTATGATTCAACTTACTCTTGTATAGTACTGGAAAAGATGAGAATTCATGTGTAGGGGCTGAAGCAATAGTACAGTGGGGAAGGTGCTTGCTTTGCATGTGACTGACCTGGGTCCAATCCCCAGCATCTCATATGGTCCCCCTAAGCACCACCAGGAGTAATTCCTGAGTGCAGTCAGGTATAACCCCTCAGCATTGTCAGGTGTGATCCAAAATGCCAAAAAAAAAAAAAAAAGAATGCATGTGTATCTCTCACTCTAAATATATTTATACCTATATTTGTATCCTGTATCAAAAACAAAAAAGAAACAATGATAAAAAAATGTGGTTGATGTTAAGAAAATTGGTATAACTAGGTAAAGGGTATTTGTGAGCTCTCTTCATGATATTTATGATTTTTTTAAATTTTGAAATTATTTAAAAATGTAAAATTACAGATGCTGGAGAAAGAGAGCAGCTAAGGCATTTGCCTTGCATGTAGCCAACCCAGATTTGATTCCCCAGCACCATACCTGGCCCCCAAGCAATATCAGGTGTGATCCCTGAGCACAGTGCCAGGAGTAAACCCTAAGCACTGCTGGGTGTAGTTCAAAAATTAAATAAAAAGATAAAATCACAGGGGCTGGAGTGATAGCACAGTGGGTAGGGCATTTGCCTTGCACGCAGCCGACCCAAGTTCAATTCTCAGCATCCCATTTGGTCCCCTGAGCACAGCCAGGAGTAATTCCTGAGTGTATGAGCCAGGAGTAACCACTGTGCATTGCTGGGTATGACCCAAAAAGAAAAAAAAAGATAAAATTACAAAGATACATATAGGCAATAAAATGAAGTGGCAGAAGTTGCAATTACAAGTAAGCATTACTAAAACATGGTTTGATAATCAAAAGATCCATCTTACCCCAGTAGATGCCACAGGAAGTGGATTGGCTGTATAAAGGCTTCTTTTTCCATCATAAACTGGTCTACGATCCCCAAATATAGTAACTTTAAAATGCTGAACCATTGAGTCAACCACTTCCCTAAAAAATGAAAAAAAAAATACTCATATGATTTTCTGCATGATGAAATACAAATATTTTAATATCTTACACGATTTCAAGATTTCAAAATTCTCAAAGATACATGACTAAAGATTCTATTTTCAGGACTATAGCTTAGGATATCAGGAAGATTCATTCTTGCAATTGCTAATATGAATTTTACAAAAGATAAAAGTGAATAAATCCAATGAATTAAGGTCAGAGTTGACTGGCAAAATATTATCTTTAGAAACTGATGAAAAATTTTCCATTATGCTATTTGAACAGATATTATAACCTTTAACACTATTGGGCTAGAGCAATAATACAGTGCAGGGGACCTTGGTTTGATCCCTGGCATCCATATGGCCATCTCCAAGTCTGGCAGGAGAGATCTTGAGCACAGAGCCGTAGTAAGCCCTGAGTACTGCCAGGTGTGGCCCCAAACCAAAACAAATACAACAACAAAAACCTTTAACACTTTGAACATTATATGACTGAAACCCAATCATGAACAACTTTACAACTGTGTATCTCAAGGTGACTGAAATAAAACAAAAACCACTTTAACACTATTGTAACACCCAAAAATATTTAAGAAATATATTTTAAAATGTCCTTTTTATCATCTCTTAGTACTATGTGACATACTCCTTGATATTCTTTTCTAGGTGCTCAGATAGCACATAAAGTTATATAACATACATATTGTATTATTTATATAACAGTGCATATACCTATTAGCACATATTGCTAGTGACAATGTAAATCAATGCAGCTATGTTGGAAAAGAATCTGGTAGTTCCTCAAAAGGGTAAATGAAAAGTTAACATAAGAGAAGGCTGGTGAGATAATACAGTGGATAGAGTGCTTGCCTTGCAGGCTGCCAACCTAGGTTAGATTCCCAGCATTCCATATGGTCTCCTGAGCCCTGGCAGGAGTGATCCCTGAGTACAGAGCCAGATGTAAGCAGTGAGCACTGCTGGGTGTGGTCCCCAAACCAAAAATAAAGTTAACATAAGATCCCATTCTTTGGTATATGGTAAAGGTAAAAGGTAAAGGCCCTCCCGTTGATCGTCGATTTGTTCGAGCGGGCCCAGTAACGTCTCCATGGGAGACTTTGTTGTTACTGTGTCTGGCATATCGAATACTCTCGGTAGCTTGCCAGGCTCTCCGAGAGGGGCAGAGGAATCGAACTCGGGTCGGCCATGTTGGCTGCGTGTAAGGCGAACGCCCTACCCGCTGTGCTATCTCAAGATAAAAAAACAAACAACAACAACAAAAAATACCTGTCCACACAAAATCCTGCATGAATGCTTATTCCAGCCAAGTGTTCTTAAGAGCCCCACAGTTTGAACAAGTCTATACTCTGATAGAATCATAAACAAAACGCAGCATATCCACATAAAAAAATATTAGCACTGTCCTGCATCGATTTGCTTGAGCGGGCACCAGTAACGTCACCATTGTGAGACTTGTTACTGTGTTTGGCATATCAAATATGTCACGGGTAGTTTGCCAGGCTTTGCCGTGCGGGCGTGATACTCTCAGTAGCTTGCCAGGCTCTCCGAGAGGGACAGAGAAATCGAACCCGGGTCAGTCGTGTGCAAGGCAAACGCCCTACCCACTGTGCTATTGCTCTGTCCAATGGAATATTATTCAGTAATAAAACGGAATGAGGTACTAACACAAGCTTGGTGAACAATGAAAACACTACAGGAAATAAAAAAGGCTGGTCACACAAAAGACTACTTATTGTATACTTCCACTTAAATAAAATGTCCAGAAAAGGTAAATATACAGAGACAGTGGTATATAAAATGAAGTAGTGATTGGCTGGGGCTATAGAAAAGAGAGCAATATGGATGACATTTTTTCAGAGAAATAGATCAAACACTCCTGAAATTCATATGGAACAATAAACTTCCCTGAATAGCTAAAGCAACCCTTAGTGTAAAGATGGGCATTTTGGAGTGAGCTAAAACCCAGCAACATACAAAAAAAGAAAAGAAAAAAAAGAAAAAACTCACCTAAGTAAATAAAAAGGAATCAAAGACCTAGATACCAGACCTGAATTCATAAGATACATAGAAGAATGTAGGTAGAACTCTCCCAAGACATTGAAGCTAAGGCATCTTCGTGGATGAAACACTACTGACCAAGCAAATGGAAGCAAATATAAACAAATGGACAGTGACCAAAATACAGTCTACAGAATGGGAAAGGATATTTGCTGAATACACATCGACAAGGGGTTGATATCAAGGATATTCAAAGTGCTGGTTGAACTCCACAAGAAGAAAACATCGAACCCCACCAAAAAGTGGGGCAACGAAATGAACAGAAACTTTCTCAAAGAAGAAATCCAAATGGCTAAAAGGCACATGAGAAAATGCTCTATATCATTAGTCATCAGGGAGATGCAGATCAAAACTACAATGAGATATCATTTCACACCACAGAGACTGGCCTACATCCACAAGAACAAAAGCAACCTGTGTTGGCGCGGATGTGGTGAGAAAGGGACCCTCCTTCACTGCTGGTGGGAATGCAAACTGGTTCAACCCTTTTGGAAAACAGTATGGACGATTCTCAAAAAATTAGAAATTGAGCTCCCAATTGACCCAGCAATACCACTCCTGGGAATATACCCCGGAGAGGCAAAAAAGTATAGTCGAAGTGACATCTACACTTGTTTGTTCACTGCAGCACTGTTTACAATAGCTAGAATATGGAAAAAACCTGAGTGCCCGAGAACAGATGACTGGTTAAAGAAACTTTGGTACCTTTACACAATGGAGTACTATGTAGCTGTTAGAAAAAATGAAGTCATGAAATTTATGTACAAGTGGTACTATATGGAAAATATCATGCTAAGCAAAACGAGCCAGAAAGAGAGGGATAGACATAGAAAGATTGCATTCATCTGGGTAACATAAAGTAACAAAATAAGAGACTAACACCCAAGAACAGCTGTGATAAATACCAGGAGGTTCATTCCATGGCTTCGAGGCCAGCAGCACACTCTAGGGGTAAAGGCAGCTCAGATAGAGAAGGGAGCACCAAATAGAGGGTGCTGGGAGTATCTGCCCAGGATGGGAGATGCATGCTGAAAGTAGACTATAGACCGAACATGATTGTCACCCAATGCCTCTTCGGCAAACCACAGCACCCAATAGGAGAGAACAAAAGGTAGTGCCCTGCCGCAGAGGCAGGGTGGGATGGGGGATTGGGGGTGGGAGGGATACTGGGATTGGTGGGGGTGGAAAATGGGCACTGGTGGTGGGATGGGTACTCGATCATTGTATAACTGAACCTAAACACAAAAACTTTAAGTCTACAATTGTATCTCATGGTGTTTCACTAAATATATATATATATTAAACGGGACGGTAGCACTTTAGCACTTTCCTTTCGTTGTTCATCGGCACCAGTAACGTCTCACAACAAATTGTGAGACTTCTTGTTTCTGTTTTTGGCATATTGAATACGTCACAGGTAGCTTGCCAAGCTTTGCCATGCGGGTGAGATGCTGGGTAGCTTACCGGGCTCTCTGACAGGGGCGGAGGAATCAAACCTGGGTCAGCCACGTGCAAGGCAAACGCCCTACCCACTGTGCTATCGCTCCAGCCCAAACAAATGGGACCACATTAAATTAATAAGAAGTTCCTGCATCTCAAAGGAAATAACAACAACAATACAAAAATGGAATGGGAGAAATTATTTACTAACAGTCTTACCTGATTAGGGGTTAATATCAAATATATGCAAGGCACTGGGAGAAAGAAGAAAAAAATTCCAAACCCACCAAAAAATGGGGAGAAGAGATGAAAAGAAATTTCCTCAAAGAAAGATAAATGGCCAAAAGGTACATGAAGAAATGCTTTGCATCACTAATCATCAGAGAGATGCAAATCAAAACAACAATGAGGTATCACCTCACATCAGACTGGTACACATCAAAAAGAACAAGAACAATCAGTGCTGGTGTGGACGCGGGTAGAAAGGGACTCTCATTCACTGCTGGTGGCAATGTTGACTGATTCAGTTTTTCTGTAAAACAATATTCCTAAAAAATTTAGGAATTGAGTTGCCATATGACCCAGCATCCCCACTTCTCAGAATATATCTTAAGGGCTCAAAAACAAAATGGAGAAAAGACATTTGCACCCCTATGTTCCTTATAGCATTATATACAAGAGCCAAAATCTGGAAACAACTCAAGTGTCCAAGGATAGATGACTGGATAAAGAAACTATGGTACATGTATACACAATGGAATATTACTCAGCCACAAGAAGTCATGAAATTTGATGCTACATGAAGGGACATGGAGAGTATCATGTTGAGCAAAGTTAGTCAGAAGGAGACCAACACAGAATGATCTCTCATATGCAAGATGTATATATATATAAAATAATGGTGGAATAACTAATATCTCAGGACAATGAAACCAAAGAACTTAAGATCTGGTATCCAGTAGGAAACATGCTACTTGAGGAGGCTTGGGAATAAGACAGGTAGGAGGCAACATCTATGATGGAGAGAAGTGTTTAGCTGGGAGGAGGAGGAGAAGGTGCTAAAAGGTGGTAAAGTGTTACCCTATCAGCAATGGTACAATAAACGACAGTGCAAAAACTTATAAAAAGAAAAAAAAGTGCCTCTTGTAGAAGCAGACTGATGGGTGGGAGACAAATGGGGATGGGAGGGACATTGGTGGAGGGAAATGAAGTGGGTACAGTGAAGTGATCAGCTTGAAATCTTCTATGCCTGAATCTTAATTATAAATAATTTTAAAATCCAGATAAAATAATCTATAAAATCCAGATCCCGGACGAGAACAGTGCAGTCTCTGCCCCCGCGCCTGGATGTTCCTTCCCGGAGTCCCTTGGAGGGGAGCGGGTTGAGCTTTCCTCCCCGCCCCGGCCAGGGCTACGGCAGCCGGAGACCTCCAGGACCAGCCACCACCATGCTGAGACCACTCTCTGCACACCTGAAGGTACTGGCAGAGGGGCAAAGCCACGCGGGTTCCGGGGCCGAGACCTCCAAGCCTACTCGAATTGGAGTCGAGCATCTTCCACCCAGATCCTCCAAATTCCAGTAGGCGGGGGTCACACCCACCACCTGGCCCCCTGGTGCCGTGTAATCCCATCAGCGGCCAAGACTCAGAGACTATAAAATCCAGATCCCGGAACCGCGCGGCCGCGATGCGGCCGTGCGACATCTTAACAAAACTTTTTTTTATGACATCTTATTGTCTTATTCCTACTTTGGACAAACTTGCAGGCTATCGAATGTAGCCTGCCCACTGGGCAGAGTCTGGCAAACTCCCCGTGGCGTACCAAATATGCCAAATACCAGTAACAATGATGGGTCTCATTCTCCTAAATAGCCTTGAATATAATCTCAGGGCTAGGATGAAAGAGACGTTACTGGGGCCTGCTCGAGGCATTCGACGAATAACAGGATGATGAAATGAAATGAAATGAAATAATTTTATAATTTCAAGGTGACTAAATTAAGAAAGAAAGCAAGAAAGCAAGAATGCAATGGGGAATGACAACTAAAGAGCATGTGCTTTTATTTTTGGGGAGAATGGAATGTTATAAAAATAGACTGTGGTGATGGTTATATTGTGAATATACCAAATATATCAAATTTCTCTGATGATATAAAAAATTCCCAGAGTTATATATTTTAAATGGGTTAATGTGGAGCCAGAGACAATACAGGATTAAAGGCACTTGCCTTGAATGCACTTGACTCTGGTTTGGTTCCCAAGCACTGCCAGGAATAGCCCCTGAATACGGGTGGGTTTGGCCCCAAACCCAAATAAATAAATAGATAAAAATGAATTGACTATAAGGTACGTGGATTTTAAGTCCACAGCTATTTTTAAATACGTATGTTCCTCTTTTAGCAAACTAAACTACCCAATTACACTATCCCAATAATATTCCTAGTAGCAGACTTTCTCCACTCTGATTTGAGATTTCCACTTAAAGCCAGAAGGTTATCAATAATTCAATGACAGAATGATATTATATTCAGGGCTGGAGCAAGAGTACAGCAGGCAGGGTGTTTGTCTTACATGTGGCCAACCTGAGTTCAATCCCCATCACCTCAAAATGGTAGACACCTGAACCCCAAGAGGAGTGATCCTTGAATGCAGAGCCAGGAGTTAGCCCTGAGCACTGCTGGATGTGGTCAAAAACCAAAATAAGTAAATGAAATAAAATAAATTTTAAAAAAATTGGAATTGGAAAGATAATACAGTGGGAAAGGAGCTTGCCATGCATGTGGCAGACCCAGATTTGATTCCTGGCAACCCATGGTTCCCTGAGCACTGCCAGGAGTGATTCCTGAGAGCAGAGCCATGAGTAACTCTGAGTATTTCAAGGTGTGACCCAAAATGGATGATATTACATACAAATGCAACCTACAAAAAATATCTGGAATTATTTGATTAATCATAACAACATTAAAAAGCAGTTATTATTACATACTGTTTAATTTATGAAGGAAAACTAAAATCCTCCCAAATCCAATATAATCTATTATCATTTCAAGTCTTTCAAATATTTAATCATGTTTAAAATAGATTTTACAGTTATAGTCATAGTGTACATACATTTTTCTCAATAATTACTTCCCCAACTTCAAGATTTTGAATAAGTACTTAATCAGATTCAAGGCTCATCCATATACATAACTGGCAAATCTAGACTTAAGATCTCTAGTTGCAGACCTTATATCTTAGGTTATATTTCTATAAAGATTTGATATTTAGTTATCACTCTAACTCACTTACTAAAACCATAGAAAATAGAACCTAGAGGACTCACAGGGATAGTACCACGCTTTGCTCATAAGAAGATCAGGTTGAACCTCTCCCAGCCCTGTACCCCTCCACCTCACTCTGCACAGCAAGGTCCACCAAATACTACCAAGAATGAGCTCTTCCCAGGCAATGGGCTAGGTATGGCCCCAAACAAACTCTCCCCCCACTGAAAACAAAGAAAAAAAAAACTCCTAGAAATGTGCTCCTCTTTTGAGTGTTTAGATGGGAGATAGTGGTGCCAGGGATCAAATCCAGGGCCATAATCCCAGCCCCAAAAGCGTTCTTACCAAATAATGATACTCAATAAGAACCATTAAATTAAAAAAAAAAAACGAAACACATATAACATGTACATATAAGTAGGAAAAGTTAAAAATGAAAAGCAAGTAAAGGAGGCTGGATAATACAGTACAGGGAGTAGGATGTTTGCCTTATACATGGCTGACCTGGGTTTGACACCAATACCCCATATGGTCCCCAGAGCCTACCAGAAGTGATCCTTGTGCACAGAGAGTAAGTCCTGAGCACTGCTGGGTGTAGCCCCTCCAAAAAATTTTTTTTAATTAAAAAATTTTAAAAATAAAGCAACTAAAAGTTTAAACTGAGAAGCTGAATCATAAGAGTCAATAATAAATCTCTCAGAAGAACGGTACATCATTGACATGCCTCCAGACTCTGCACTAGGATGTTTCATTCGGGACAACCTGGAGAGGGTTAGAGGAGGCCCCTCCCTGCCCCTAGGAACCCAGCTCCAGCAGCCTAGAACTCAACTGCCACCATGCTCACAGCCGCTCTCCACACGCTCAGGCCAAGCCCCACCCAGGGGTGATTCTATTTCTGAACATCTCATACTTAACACCACCAATACACCAAGAGTAGCACACCACATTTGATGGGGTTTAAAGTAGAAGGCAACCAATCTTAGAGGGAAATCTATTTATACAGCTATAGATAAAAGCACACAAGGCTCAACCTTTAATCTCTTAAGGGTTTAATGGCTCCTGGGTGAAATGCAAAAAACTTCACACACTTTCCTAGTCTAAGAAACCTTTATGGGATCATTTTTAGCGGATTATTCATAATAAGCAATACAAAATAAATTATTTCAGTTCTGCTTTGGGGGCAGGGTTTCTGATTCAGGATGGAAATATGGTGGTGGGAAGGTATAATGGTGGTGGAATTGGGTGTTCGAATATTAAATGTAATAAAATATTATGAACAACTTTGTAAAAAAAAAGGAAACTGACTCATAAAATGATTCACTAGCATATCCTGAATATTTTGCTCTCGAAAACTCATCTGACTAAAAAGGAAACTTGTTTGGCTATTATACATCATTCCAGTACTGTGATTAATGCCATAAAGCCAAATATTTGAGCATGTGGCATATGGACAAGAAAAACTCTTATCTGATGCTTTAAATACTAAAAAATTTAAGTCACTTAGGATGATTCTCTTTATATATATCTTTATAATTTCTACTAAGTTATAGAAAACAAAAAAATCTTTGCAATAAGAAAAAAGATAATCTGCAGTGAAAAAAGAAAATTTGAGCAGTAGTATAGTGGGTAGGGAGTGCATAGTCAGGAGTAAGCAAGGGTGTGGTCTAAAACCAAAAACCAAAAAAGATAATTTGTTGGTATTTTAATTATTTTAGACAAATTAAAATTAGATATGAAAGATCTACTGCATTTTAGTCCACACTTGGCTAATACTGAAAAGTGATTGTACTTGTTGGTTCCATCTCTGTGTATTTCAACAACTGAAATTCCAGAAGTTAACAACCACTTAACAACCACTTTTCGTGTTATTATTATTATTATTTTTTTGCTTTTTGGGTCACACCCGGTGACGCACAAGGGCGTTCCTCCTCGCTCTGCACTCAGGAATTACTCCTGGCGGTGCTTGGGGGACAATATAGGATGCTGGGCATCGAACCCGGGTTGGCTGCATGCAAGGGGAATGCCCTGCTCGCTGTACTATAGCTCCAGCCTCTACAATCACTTTTCAAAAAGAAAATTTGTTTTTGAAATTGACTATGCTTCAGAAATATAGTTTTGATTAAAAATCTGCCAACAGCCTTTACAGTTTTCCATTATAACGTAAGCTTAGATATTTTCTCTGTGACAAAAGAAAAGAGCCACATCATTTTCTTATGCTCTTAAAATAACACTAAGCATCTTTTCCCTTGCTAATAGGCAGTATGTCTGCACTGTCATTTTTCTCCTGATTCTGCTCCCACATTATATAAAGTATTATGTAATAACCCCTTAATAATGCTTTAAGATTATCGTTGTGATAGTAGTAGTGGTAGCTAGAAATAGTGGTTTTCACGGCTTTGGTTTCATAACTTCTGTTTTGATCCTCAATAATTTCAAAAAACAAACTGTCATGTGTCCTTGAGAAAATTGTTAGGGAAAAACAATTACTAAAGCAAAGACAAATACAAAGAGCAAAAAAATTTGACTTCATGATCCTTACCTGTTCACTCTCCGAGGACACTTGTCTGGTTTAATATCTACCTCATAGAGGTAGACATCAATCTTTGGGATTTCAACTTGAAAACAGTTAGCCAGCAATTTAATGGGTTTGCCCATGGTGCCATAGCCAGGTCTTCTGGGCACCATGAGTAGGGGCTGGGCCCCAACGGGTCCTGCCAAGGAGAGAGAGGAAAAAAAAAGATTAAGCTACATTTGATAATAATCTTTTCAACCAGAATGTGTTAAAATTTTGAGTATAGGGCCAAAGCGATAGTACAGCGGGTAGGCACATGGCTGACTTGGGTTCAATCCCCCAGCATCCCATATAGTGCCCCAAGCACCTCCAGGAGTAATTCCTGAGTGCAGAGCCAGAAGTAATGCCTGAGCATTGCTGGGTGTGACCCAAAAAGGAAAAAAACTGAATACAGCTAACAGACGTTGCGACTGACTACTGAGAACAACTCCATTTTGAACAGTTCAATTTCTTACAGCCCAATTTACTCTCATTTAGAAAACATTCAAACGAGCACCTCTCTAGAAAATTGGTTTGGAGGAGGTAGAAAGAAGTGACCACGACCACAGAAGCTCAAGATAGAACAAAGCATAAAGTGTGAGACCAACAGCAAAACAAAGAAGGAGATTTAAAAAAAAAAAAATGGAAGCAGAGAGGAATAAAAAAAATAGGAAAATAAATTAAAAAAGGAAAGACCCAGGAGCCTAAAGCACCTTTCATGCAAGCACTGTGATTCAGAAAGTTCTACTGTTTGGACCTGGTAGTTAAGTGGTCTGTGATCTGTGAACGCACAAGTGACTTCTGGCCGTACAGAAACTAACTGTAACTATGTGTAGGATCACAAAAAAGGCACAGCATCCAGCAAGCACTTTTTTAAACTAAAAAAGATGTGTGCATGTCATGGTCAGCATACGTATTGTTCAAACACTGACCATAGCAACAATGACAATGAAGAGAAGGGGACGAGGAAAATAAAGATTTAATTAATTTAATTAAAATAACATTTTAAAAGAACTGGAGCAACAGCACAGTGGGTAGGGCGTTTGCCTTGCATGTGGCCGACCCAGGTTCGATTCCTCCATCCCTCTCAGAGAGCCCAACAAGCTTCTGAGAGTATCCCACCCGCATGGCAAAGGCTGGCCAGCTACTGTGGCGTATTCGATATGCCAAAAACAGTAACAACAAGTCTCACAATAGATGTTACTGATGCCCACAGGAGCAGATCGATGAACACCGGGATGACAGTGCTACAGTGCAACATTTTAAAAAAGTGAGTGGTAATTGTTGAGAGAGCAGGAGGGCAAAGAAGGAAAGAAATCAAGTGGGGGAGAAAAGAACAGGAAATAATGGGTTGAACAGGAATCACGGTTTCAGTCATACTGGTGATATGGATGAGAGTTATATCCAAAACACAGACTCAACAAAAATGAGATCTAGGTTGCAACCACTGAAACTCTGTAATGTGCCTGTCAAGTTGACAGGCAGGGAGCAGGTGAGGAGGGAAAATGAGAGCACTGGTGCAGGGAAGTTGACACTGGTGATGGGATTGGTGTTGAAATATATGTCTAAAATGCGACTATCAATAGCTCAATAGTTTTGAAAATCACAGTTCTTTAATCAGGGGGTGGCGAAGTGGGTGATAATAAGAGCAAGAGCAAATAAAAGTTAACAAGAAATTAAAAATAAAAGACTGAAAAAGCGCAAAAGTATTTTAAAAAAATAAATAAAATTGTTAAGACCTGAGGCAACATTAATTTTTGAATAGGAGGAAAGCAGCTTAGATAAGCAGTGTAAGTTTTAAAAAAATCACTATAAAAACTTGAATATATTACAAACATTCTATCAATGAACTGAAGTTTGATGAAGCAAATTCCTAGAGAAATATAACTTACTGACATACCCAAGAATGTGAAATTTGAAAAGTATTCTATTGACAGAAACATAAAATAGTGCAGTTACTTCTCTTTTTTGTTTTGGGGCCATACCTGGCAGTGCTCAGGGCTTATTCCTGGCTCTATATAAGGAATCATGTATGGCAGGGCTGGTGGATCATATGGAATCCCAAAGATCTAACCCTGGTCAGCAGCATGCAAGGTAAGCACCATACCCACTGTACTACTGCTCTGGTCCTGTGGTACAGTCCCTTTTTAAAACAGAATGATGGTTCCTCAAAAGATGGAAAGGTGGACTAGTATATATGATTCAGCAATTCTACTTCTAGGTATGGAAGAGATAACTGACATTTATGCTCAAAGCACCATTACTCACAACAGCCAAAAGGTAGAAGCAACGCAAGAGTTCACTGATAGAATGGATGAGTAATATGTGGCATATACATATGAGAAAATATTATTCGGTCTTTTTTTTTTTTTTTTTTGCTTTTGTGGGTCACACAAGGTAATGCTCAGGGGCTGCTGCTGGCTCTGCACTCAGGAATTACTCCTGGCCGAGCCTGGAGAACCATATGAGACGCTGGAGATCGAACCCAGGCTGGCCGCATGCAAGGCAAATGCTCTTCCCACTGTACTATCACTCTGGTCCCAGTATTATTCAGTCTTAAAAAGGAAGGAGATACCAGAGAAACAGCTCAATGCGCTCGGCTAAGCATATACTCTGCATTCAGCAGGTCACAGCACTGAATGATCCCCTAAGCACAGAAGTGGGGGTAGCCGTCAAGCACCACTGGAGATTGACCAAAAACAAAACACAAAAAGAATGTTCTTACACTTGCTACAACATAGTTCATGAACTCTATGGATATTATGCTAAAATAAGTCAGTCACACCAAGTGACTGTGATTCCACTTAATACTATCTGATCACTTTCACACAGAGACAATAGAAAAAGGGTGGTTAACAGGGGCTGAGGGAAGGGACGGACAGATTGTTGCTCAATGGGTGTAATTTGAATTTTGCCAGATTAAAGTTCTGGACATTGAGTGCATAACAATGAAAAATGTAAGTAATACTACTGAACTATCCATTTAAAAAAAACTACAAAGACAGATAAATTTAATGTAACGTGTATTTCATCAGTTAAAAAACCCTAAGTGATGCCTACATTAAGCTTTGGTTTTGTTTTTGGCACCAAACATGGTGCCAGAGAACAAACCCAGGTCAGCCTGGGTTTATGCAAGGCAAAAGCCTTACCCACTGTACTATCTCTCCAGCCCTGTATCTAAGGCTTAATATTTTGGTGAAGATCATACCAGCCTGTGTTCAGGACTTTTCTCCTGGTTCTGAATCATTTCTGGTGGGGCCTGAGAGACCATATGTGGTGCTGGAGATCAAATCTGAGTTGGCTGTGTGCAGGGCAAGTGCCTTCTTCTGTACTATCTCTGACCCTGTTTTCACTTTTTGACTATTATGAATGATAGTGCTAAGAACACTCAAATCATGTCTTTGTATGGACATAAGTTTTTCTTTTCTCTTGAGTAGATCCCTAGGAAAGAATTGCCGGATCATGTTTGGCCTTTAAAGGAAGTGCTAGAACATGCTGGGGGAAAAGGCAGCTCAGATAGAGAAGGGAACACCAAGTAAAGGATGTTAGAAGGACTCACACGGGATGTGAGATGCGTGCTGAAAGTAGACTATAGACCGAATATGATGGCTATTCAATACCTCTATTGCAAACTACAACACCCTTAAGAAAAGAGAGAGCAAAAGGGAATGCCCTGCCACAGAAGCGCTGTGGTGGGGGATGGGCTGGGGGGTGAGAGAACTACTGGGATTATTGGTGGTGGATAATGGGCACTGGTGGAGGGATGGGTACTCGACCATTGTACAACTGAAACCCAAGCACGGAAGTTTGTAAGTCTACAACTGTACCTCATGGTGTTTCACTAATTTTAAAAAAAGTATTTACATTAAAAGAAATAATAATAAATGAAGTGCTAGAATGTTTTCCAACCACTATGGATTTATTATTTGTTTAACTGTGCTAAATAGCACTGTAGCACTATCCTCCTGTTGTTCATCGATCTGCTCGAGCAGGCCCAGTAATGGTTCCATTGTGATACTTGTTACTGTGTTTGGCATATCGAATATGTCACCGGTAGCTTGACAGACTTTGCAGTGTGGGTGAGATACTCTCGGTAGCTTGACAGGCTCTCCGAGAGGGGTGGAGGAATCAAACCCGGCTGGGCTGGGTCAGCCGTGTGCAAGGCAAATGCCCTACCCACTGTGCTATCATCCAGCAATTGTGCTAAATAGATTAAGATAAATGAGAGATAAAATATACAAACATACAAATTTTATTATAATTTTTGCTTAACTTTAGTTACAAAGTTGCTTCAGTTTTACCAGGTTTGAACCTATGTTTTTCTCCTTACAACTGAGGCTTCTATAACCAGACTGTACATAATCCGGTGTGTATTTCTATGTATCCCTGTGAATTTTGTTTTTGTTTTCCTACCACACTTGCCAGTGCTCAGTTTACTCCTGGATCTGTACTCAGGAATCACTCCTGGCAGGCTTTGAGTACCATATAAGGAACCAGGAATCAAACCTGGGTCAATCATGGACAAGGTAAGCACCCTACAAGCTGTACCATTTTGCTCTTGTACTATTGTTCACCAAATCTAAAGATGACAAAATGCTGTTGTTTCTTTGCTTTCCACTCACACTAATTCTGATAATTCTTGAAGATTCACATGTATCTTTCATTATTCTAGAGCTTTGGTGGTGTGGGGGGGTTCATCACAATCAGCTGTGCTCAGGGATCACTCATGGTAGGTAGAAGGGACCATACATGGTTCATAAGTCAACCCTGGGTCAGTTTAGTGCAAGGCTGTACTATCTTCAGACCCTATTCTGATGTCTTAAATAGCTGTTATAAAAAAGCTCTCTGGAGTACGGTAATTTTTCAAATCCTTTTCATTCAGTAATGTACTGCCTTCATACAAAAACAACTAGCTTGACAATGAACCCATACAAATTTATCTTGAAATTTCCACACATTATTTATAACATTGGTAATATGGATTTCTTATTCCTTTAAGTAGTATTCTGTATTTGAGACTTAGGAATACACAAATAAGTCCTTGTGTGTTCCTATTTTTTGCTTTATTAAATACATGATTAATTTTGGTCTGAGTTCAATTTCTCAGAAAGGTTTCTTCTGCTATTTCTTTAATTATAACTTTTGGCTTCAGTCCTTTCT